GCGGGCCATGGACCCGCTGATCGCCTATATGTGAAACACCCGGTACCGGGTGTTCGCATTGGACGGGTCTTTTCTGCCCGTGCGTGCCCGCTAGGGGGCGCGCGCGAGCAGAAAAAAAATGCCGTCTGGAGACGGCAACCCGCAGATGCTGCAGTGCCGTCCGTCCGTCCGTTTTTTTACTACGGGCGGACGGCAAGAGGTTAATGTAAAAAATCGAGGCTGTCATTGCTGAAAAACGTTGAAAAATGATAATCGCCTGACTTTCATACTAACTCTTGGGCTTCGATACTGTGAAAATGTGACAATCTAATGCCCTAAAGTTCCACGAGCAATCTCTTCGCTTTGCTGCCCTCATAATGGCTACTTGTCAGCATTGGTGCCAGAATACAACTAGAATAAACATAAGACATGGAGCAGTAGTGTGTGTGCTGTGAGCTGTAAAGGAATACAGAATTTTAAACATGTTCTCCCTGTCTGTTCTCTGAAGTTAATAGTTCTCGGTCAGTACACAGATACTATGTACAGAATCTACATTTATTTTGCTCAAAGTGTATTTCCACTTTTGCAGTCACATTTGACCCCCACCATATAGTATTTGAGGTTGAATAAAGACATAAGTCCATCAAGTCCAACCTATTGTGTGTATTTATTTATGAGCTGATGTGTGCGTGTATACAAGTCCATGGGTGATTTTTCTCTTAGCTATACCTGTACCCCTGAATGTTCTGGTCTCCCAGGAACTCGTCCAGGAGTCTCTTGAATGATTCCACACTCTTAGCTGAAATTACTTCCTGTGGCAGCGAGTTCCAGGCCTTAACCGCTCTAACTGTGAAGAACCCCTTGCGCCCTGTGTTGTGAAAAAATTTTTCCACCAATTTTAGCTTGTGCCCTCTGGTCTTTGTTACAGAGCTGACAGTAAACAGTTTGCTACTGAGGTTGCTGTCACCCTTGAATAGTTTATACATAAAAATCATGTCCCCCCTTAATCTCCTAACCTCCAACGAGAACATATTTAATTTTAACAACCTTGTTTCATAGTTCAGATCCTCGAACCCCTTAATGAGTTTGGTTTCCCTCTTCTGGACTTTTTCCAGCTCAAGGACATCCTTTCTGAGTATTGGTGACCAAAACTGGACCGCATACTTCAGATGTGGCTGAACCAGTGATCTATAAAGAGGCAAAATTATGGACTTGTCTCTGCAATACATCCCCTTCTTAATGCAAGACAGGACTCTGCTAGCTTTGTTTACAGCAGCCTGGCACTGCAAGCTGTTCTTCAATCTGCGGTCTATAATGACCCCCAAATCCTTCTCCGTTTCCGACTTCCCTAGTTGCATACCCATGAGTGTATAGTCCAATATGTTTGTTACATGTTCAAATTCACACAGCACCTAAAAGTAATTAAAAAATATTTCTTACCTTTTTGTTGTTTCTTTAAATAGGGCGTTTGGGCAGACTATCTGCTGGCTATTCTGAACAATTTGAGAGGGAGACTGCCCCCATAGAAAGACTGGGGACACAATGGGGCTGATGTATAATACTTTGCCCAGTGTGTAGCTGGGTGAACAACATTTGCACTAGATAGAGCTAGAAGAACATAGGAATTTCCTATGCTTCTGAACACCATCTAGGGGCCATATATATATATATATATATATTGTGAGATGTAGCTTCCAATAGTAGCACATTAAGGATGGAGTCCACCCGCTTATCACGTCTTTTTAAGGGCTTCTTTGCCCACTTTTATTAATTCAAACATAAAAGTCTACACAGGTGTTTCCCTCACAGGGGTCTTCAAACATAACATACAGCAAGATAATATTTTTCCAAGTCTCACCGACTTCCGGCTATCACTAAAACACTCCGGAGTGATAGACTTCCGGCTATCACTCCCACACGGGCTGTATCCAGTTGACGTGCCACACAGGCTGGTTCCAGGCTGGAGTTCTCCTGACTCCTGGACAGACACCTCCTTTGTCTTCCAGCTGGAACCTTGAACCTGACCCAGCATCCTCCTCATAAAGGGCTTTGCACAGGTACACCATCATTTGGTGCTGGTCACCACTAAAGCCCGGACCCAGGAATGGAGATTTCTTCCCTCCCAGTTCTCTTAGAAATTTCCCGGCTCCAGGATCCCAACTATAATCCAGAAAACTCTGAATGAGTTGTAAAACCAGCTCTTTACTGGTAACAGTACTTTCCTGGAGCCGCTCAGCCCCTCTGGCTGAGAGTCCTGGGTGACCCTTTTTCCACTCCACATAGTGGCATTTCCATGCACTGCCACAATATATATAAAACAAATCATACATTAAAACAGGGATGCAAAAATCCCAGGAGTCCTGTATGCTCCTTAAAAATGACAGCTGCCTCCTAACTATTGAGTTTTTCTCTAGTCTAGTCATGGAGCTGGAAAAGTATCTGTACTTGTACGTGAGCCAAGTATGGTATTTGGTATCTGTGCATCCCTATCTTTAACCCTTTGTTCTTTTACCCATTGTTCAAATCTAGTTTGCAACTTATAATAAAATCTGGCAGCAGAGTACAAATAGGGTTAATTATGATGAACATTAATTCCACTCTGCCCTCCTTTACATTACATATGGGTTAGCTGTAAAAAATAAGTTAAGGCAACTGGACTTGATGTATTTTTCTTGAAGAGGTTTCACTCATCCAACCAGCTTTCTCAATTCAGAAAGACTTGTACAAAAAATTATCAAAAAATTATCTGGGAATAAATATGGTGCATGTTGCTCCAATCCACAAAATCTGTTAGATGCCAATTACGCAAATGCAATCAACACCTGGTAGTGACTAAGAGGTGTTATTAACCTGCCTAGAAAGAGGTGTTAAAACAACATTGTATGTGGCAGACAATAGATGTCTCACCACCCCACCCCCCCCCCCCCCCCCCCCCCCCGCAGGCTGCTGTTTTTTTATAAATCTTTGTTTTTAAGGGTTTAAAAAAAAAAAAGTTATTGTATGTATGTATGTAAATGAGAATGCCTAATACAAATAAATTAGAAATCCTAATTTGGTTGCAAAACTGGAAATGCATTTTAATTATCAAGTAACTTGCACAGCTGCCGAGATGCCAACATTCTTCTTTGTGCCCAGAAGATGGCAATAATCTAAGTGAAATCCTGTGACTTGCCTCCATCTGCTGGAAAGAGATCAGCATTTTGAGTTTCCATATTCTACCAATCATTCTTCTGATCTTTACAGTTTATTGATGCTTTTTTCTTGGACTTCCTGGCCTGCACATTTGTCAGCCCAAAAAAGCCTTATCCTAGTCTCCTATTCTGTTACACTATTTTTATTCTTTATTTCTGAAGTCTTAGTGGTTAATACTTCTACCTTGCAGCACTAGGGTCCCTGGTTAAAATACTGAACAGTTCACTATCTGCATAGAGTTTAAATGTTCTCCCTATGATTGCATAAGTTTCTCCCCACACATCAAAGACATGCTGACAGGTTAACCGGCTCCTGTCTAAATTGGTTCTAGTATGTGTATCTATAAATGTGACCTCACTGTGAGGGTAGGGACTGATGTGAATGTACAGTATTTAACACACTGCGTAAATTGATGGCGCTATATAATAGATATGTGCACTGCCAAAAAATTTGTTTCGTTTCGTTTTAAATTCGGATTAGTTTTATTTCGTTTTTCAGGATTCGGGTGTGAAAGTGAATTCGGATTCGGAATTCGGATTCGGACGAAATTCGGTAGCGTTAGTACGAACGTTCGTTTCGTTTTCTGTTCTTATTCGTTTCTTATTCGTTTCGTTCGTTTGCAGCAAAAGTGACATTTGAGGGGGAAAAAATATTTTTCTCCTTCTCTAATGTCACTTTGCTCCAACGAACGAAACGAATAAGAAACGAATAAGAACAGAAAACGAAACGAATGTTCGTGCGAACGCTACCGAAATTTCGGAAATGGAAATTTGGGTTCGTTTGCATTCGTTATGTCTGTAATTCGGAATTCGGATACATCCGAATGTCCGAATTTACGAAAATTCGTCCGAATTTCGATTCGGAACGAAACGAATCGCACATGTCTACTATATAAATACCTGTACGAAATAAATGCAAAACCAACCTCCACTATTAGGGATAAGACAGAGGAACATACTGTGATCTGGTTTTACTGGGTGCAATTCCAATAGTCTACTGAATACAAAACTAACATCTAATGTCAATACACAGCCTGTGGTGGTTACTTATCCCCCCTTTAATTGTTTTCTTTCTCTTTCCCCTTCCCCACCTCTCCAACCCCATTTTTAAATGTCAATGAAATCCTCCCCTTAAGCCTGACCCTTATCAATACCAATCACCATCCTCCCTTCCTCCAACCTAAAGGTGCCCACACACCTTGCGATAATCGTACGATAATCGCTGGAAATCCTGCGATCATACGATTATCGTAAGGTGTGTGGAAGCCATGTGACCTCTACTACTGTAAGGTCGTACGACTTTTATCTTAGGAACATGTTCGAAAACCCGCCGAGCATCGTACGATGTTCGGCGGGTGTGTAGCATGTTCGTAAGATAAAAGCCGGACTGGCCGGTGTGCGCAAGCGCACGCTGCCCGTTCGGCATTGCGGTCATCGGAAGCCCGCCCCTCAGGTCCAAGATAGGCAGATTGTACTTTTTTCAAATTACCTTACAACCATCGCAAGACAAAAGTCTTGCAATGGTTGTAAGGTGTGTGCCCAGCCTAAGACTATTAGATTTCTAAACCTCCCATCTCCTCCTCCCCCTGGATTACCCCTTCCACTGTTTAAAACATGGAAAAGGTTAATTCCACAACTCTCAGATTAATTTGCAAACATGAACTCCATGTATCTTACATAGGCCTCAGTATTATAATTCCCTCCCAGAATAGTGTCACCCAGCATATGTGAGTCTTGAATGTGCATATTAGCATGTTCACCTTCACAGAGAGAAAGCGAGAGAGAGAGACACACACACAGAGAGACAGGGAGAGAGAGAGAGAGAGAGAGAGAGAGAGAGAGAAAGAGAGAGAGAAAGGGGAAGGGTAGGGTGTCATGGCTGTTTTTTTCTGTAAAAGCTAGTTGCTTGGCTGTTTTTGACCTCACTACTTTCTGAGTCACTGACCAAGATCAAGTATGCATAATCGATTCTACAACTGGTCTTTACAATTCAGCACCATTAGCTAGGCAAATGCGTCAGAGTGACAGTCTGTGGAGTGCCTTTGTACATTTGTTTTTAATAATGTTAGTGAAGCATTACAGATTGATGGAGTGTGGCTTGGTATTGCTTCTTCTCACAAGTATATGTAAAGTCAAACTACTGATACGCATATTAGTTCAAGGTCAGTGATTAGGAAAGAACTGAAGCCACTGTCTCAATATGACAATCAAGCAACTAGCATTTTCAAAGGCAGAATTCAGCAATGGCACACTACATATTTTCCACAGCACAGGTTATCTTTAACCCCTTCACAACCAGCGACATACAGTGTAAGTTGCTGGCATCGGGGCTGTTTAAACAGACTCCCAGGGTCTGTTTAAACTTGTAAAGCCAACTGTCGGCTTTACAGATTCTAGCGGTTCAGCTGCCGCCAGAACGCTTCTACGGGCCGGTGAAGGGGTCGTCGCCCTTCCCCGCCCGACAACCCCGCCGTGTTTCCTGGGCTCCGTTGCCCCTCCTATGGGCCTGGGACCGGCTGCTTTGGTGTTGGTGGGAAGCCGAGGAGGAGATGGACGAACCTCCATTTGTCGATCCCCTCCACGTTCTATGGGACCGGGAGCGATGCAGATTGCATCACTTCTGGTCCTATAAGTGTCAGTGCTGGGCTCCTGAAGCCCAGCTATAAGCTATTGAAGTGTGATCAGCACTGCAATAGCTTATTGAGAGTGTAAAGGCGACACTGGGGGTCTGTTGGGTATCGCCGCGCATGCCGGAGTGAGAGCAATAATTCTAGGGACAGTATTTGTGGGTATCTCTAAACTGATGATCTGTGGGGGCTTTTAAAGTGTCGTCTATGGACTGTATGTACTGGGGTACTGAATTTTGTTTCACGGACGCACGCAATTATTAACCTGGGCATGTTGGGTATCTATTTACTCGTGTAACCTCATCTTTTATATTTTATTAAACAAATGTTTTGGGGCATTTAAGTGCATTTTTCACTAAATGTGGGGGTTTGATAAGGAGTTGCGCTAATATCGTGCAACATAAAAATTTGCCAATGCCACCATTTTATTTTATAGGCTCTTGGCTTTCAGAAAATATATAATGTTTGAGGGTTTTAAGTAATTTTCAGGCCTAATCTGCAATTATTCTGAAATAGTGACAGTGACAATAGTGACAAATAGCAGGAAACTAACATTTTCAGGAGGAGGACAGCATTAGTAGCCTCCATGTTTATCTCTGGAAAGGTTGCCTTTAAGGTTATTTCTTATAAGTAGGTAACAGCACCAGGTTCAGACTTTAAACAAAGGGTTTTACATGTGATGTCACTCAGGAACACCGGCTTGTTTGTTCACAAATAAGCCGGTGGGGATATGTAATTTAGATGTAATAGTTCTACCACTGCTAAATGATTGATCCCTGATGCCCTGCAACATACATGCAGGTATAAGTCTTCCTTAAAGCATGTTATTTGTGTACTTTTAATGTTGTCTTTTAAGCTGCATTCAAGACTGTCTCGCCTCTGAATGGTAATTTGTTTTTGCATTTATTCAACCCTGGCAGTGCTCAGCT